GCCCGAGAGCAGGCCGAGGGGGAGCGTAAAAGGCGCTGGGGTAGGAGGGCTGCGCCGGGCGGGGTCTGACGGCAGGAGGCGAGGTGGTAAGGGGCGAGGGACAGGACACTTAGTGCAATTGCCAGTGTCGGGCCAAAATCAGGCCAGGCAGCGACCCAAGAGCCCCCCCCAACCCCTGGGCTCTGCAGCCTGCACTGGTGGAATGCAATGAGGGAAACAACACCTTGTCTACGCGGACAAAGGCATGACAGCACAGAGGAAAGGCAAGTGATGTGTGATTTCAGTTATTTTTTAAAGACCTTTGGGAAAAAGGCTTTATTGAAAGTTTTTTTTTCCCCCTGGGGGGTGGGGGGGATGAGGGAGTGAGAATATAATTATAATTAAAGTAAGTCTTCCAAAAATATTAGCTATGGGCCAGGTGATCGCTAAGTGCCGCACCTGAAGTGAATTAACTGAGTCCTCACAAGGGTTATATGATGGATGAGCCATCCTTCCCCCATTTACAGGCGAGGCGGCGACGCGGGGAAGCGGCCTCGCCTGGAATCACAGAGAATGGCTGGGCTTCGGAACAAGGCCCGAGAAGGAGGGCGTAAGGTCTCTGCAAAAGAAATCTGTCTGTCCAGGACCCTGCCATCCTGTACAACCCCAGCAAAATAAAAATAACAGAACAGGACAGGCAGAGCAATGAATTAAACTAAAAGAGAAAGCGTTCTATTAGCTGCGGCAAAAGCTTCCGGGAGGGAAGCAGACGCTCGGAGGGAAGTGCTGGCTGCGTGGTTGCCCCAGAGTGTCCTTCTCGGGGACCAGGGGAACCACCAGCCTTGCTGGATGGTGCTGAAGGCCCCTCGGGTAGGAAGGGGTGACCCAGAACTGTGACTTCCGGGCCCACAGAAGTCACACCCGGCCTTACCCAAGGAGAGAAGCAACGGACAGAGGAGCCTCCTCGTGAGTCGCGCGGGGCCTGGGCCGGCCCTGACTCCTGCGACGCCGCCTCGTCCTAGGACGCAGCGTGGCACACGGCTCGCCCTCAGCGAGCGCACGCTGATGAGTGCACAGGGAGGGATGAGAGAGTGTGGACAGGACCCGCTGTGGAAAAGCCCAGACCGCCTGGAACGCCGAGGTAAGGCACCGTCTCGGGAGGCGGCCTGGGAGGCTCCACGGGAGAGAAGCGCGCCTCCTGGGCTCACCGGAGCCTGGGCGGGAGCGCGGCCTGGGAGGGCTGACGGCGGAGACAGGAGCGACGCGGCTGCCGCAGCAGAGATTCCGTCCCACGGCAGCTTCGGAGCAGGACGTAAGGTGTTCGTGTTCTGTCCACACAGCGCTCACGAGAACGCCGACAGGTGGCAGCTGCATTGTGCCTGTGACAAGGGCAGTGGCAGGTCGCAGGGGCGGGGCCCTGCCCCTCGGGCCGGGCCCTGGAGAACTCCCTACGGACGTCCAGGGTACGCTGGTCAAGGGCCCACCTGCAGATTCACCCAGCCCCGGCCCCAGATAACGGTGACCAAGCCCCTAGATTTGTCTCAGTGTCCAGGGTCTCGCTGCCTGTGAGACAGTAAACCTTCGCTCCAGCCACGAAGTTGCGCAGGTTAAGTGACAATGTGTTGTGGGGAGAGAAACAGGAATAAGGGGAAAACGGAAGAAAATTTAGCGCTCCAATTCACGTGAAGATCGGCATACTCGGTGCGGCCAGAGTGGGCCTGACCAGTAAGTTGAGGAAAGCAAGACGTTCTCAAAACAGAGAGAGCAGAGCCCGCCCACGAGCCCCCCCAGGCTGGACGAGTCAGGCCCCTCTTTGTGGCCTCCCAGGCCTTGTACATATCCCCCCGCCCCCGCCGTCCCCCGCTTCACTTCACTACTTTTTAAAAATTCATTAACTTCAAATGCTTGTTCCCGTGAAGGCCGCCGCCACGGAACCGTGAGCTCCTCGGAGAGCAGGGGTGTGTTTTAAGTGTCTTTTACCTCCCCCCCAACCAGAATCACACGTGACACACAATCACTGGTGCTGGGACAGCTGTGGGAGAGGCCGTAGGAGAAACATTAAGAAAAACCGCATCAGAACATAGAAGGACATGTGTATGTATGTTACACGTATCGATCAGATACATATACACACACATACAAATGCCAGTCATGTGTACAAACATCAAGTTTATCAGGCGCCCTCCCCAAAGTAACGGCGCCCCCTCTGACTCCATGGGTCGCTGGCATTTCATTCCATAGCTTCTCTCCTTCTAGACAGACTGTAAGTGATGCCTCTTCCTCTTCTGAGGAAGCAAGAAACGTAGCTCAAGGCCGCGAAGGGGCCAGGGTGCGCCTTGGAGCCCTTGGGAGGGGGAGGGGGCATCAGCAGGAGGCGGGCAGTGTCGCGGGCCCTGCGGTGGCGGGGGGACAGGCAGGTCTGGGCGTCCTGATCGTCCTCCTCGAGGGCTGGGCACCGGCTGTCCTTCCGCCGCCTTCCTGAGCTGCTCTCCTGATTTCAGACTCTTTCCCCGATGGACAAGCCGACCGAACTCATGAAACCTGTCTTCTAACAAACCCTCTGTGGCTGAATAGGGGTTTCACGCCTTCGCACACTGATCCTGAAACGCTCAACTCTTTCCTCCCAAAATCAGAAGTTCTTAGTCAAGCAGCCTCCTCGCAAACAGCCCGACTGCAGCAGGTCACGATGCTCCGGGCAAGCCACACGCCCCTCACGCGGGGAGCAGCCCCACGGCACGCAGGCTGCTGCCAATCCTAGGGCGGCTGTGCGCGCTCCATGCCGTTCTCGGGTGAGACTCAGCCGAACGCGCAGTCTCGCTCCAGGCAGGGGAGCCCTCAGACGGTGTCTGTGACACAAAGAAGGCAGTGAGCGACCGCCACGGGATGGCGCCCCTGTGTGGCTCGCCTCTGAACGTGTGACACCGGATACCCAATGAGGTTCTACCCAGAAAATCAGCTTCTCCGCGATACAGTCTCTCAGCTGAAAACGGAACTAGTTGAGGACACAGAATTCCACATGCCAGACACTGCATGTCATTAGCCTGGGAACGAACGGACTTGTCCCAGTTTCTGCGCCTTTCCCCTGCGTCTCCCTTGTCGCAGAATAGGTGAAAACTAAAACACTGTCACCAAACCCCACAGTGTCCTCTCTCCATGGTGACCTTCACCTCAGCAGCTGCCAGGACAGTTTTCTCAGTGAAGCGAAACCTGCTTGGGCGCGGACGGATTCCTGCGCTGCACACCTGGGTCTCCTACCTTGACCCTTCACTGCGCGGCGAATCCTGACCGAACGCCGCCGACCAGCCCTGGGAGCTGCAGTGAGGCCGACCGTGACGCGGGCTCACTGACAGACACCAGGGCCAGGCCCCTGCACCTCTCCCAGCGTCGTCGCACACGGCGCAGGACAGAGCTGCGGAACGCGAGGGCCCGCCGTCCGGGACGCAGCGGCACAACATCAAGGCTGTGACGTTTCCTTGCAGTGTGTGCTGCTCTCAATTGTCCAGACACGGTCACTATTCACATGACCCAATGACGCATCTACAATAAGCACCTTGCCCATTAATCAACTGTGTCTTACACCTGAAGGGTCTTCATTGAAATTTCTATGTCTAGCCTAGTCGCAAAATACTAAGTTCCAGCCATGTTCAAAACCAATGGCATCTCAAGCCCTGCGTTTTGATTCCATGGACCTCTACAGTATGTTCTCTGACTATAACCCTATGGTTCCTGAGAAGCAAAGAGTCACCAAAAGCCACAGGGTAACACGAGGGTGGGCAACGTAGGGTTACAGCTTCGAGTATGCAAAATGCAGAGTTTATCCTGTACTATTTATCTATTATTGTAGCATTCACTTGTATTACAACTGTAAGCCTACTTTTGCCCACCTCTGTATTAAAATATTCAACCTAAAGAAACACAGTCTTTTCAAAATTTTTACATGGAAATATTATTTCTCTACAAGAACACCCATGTTTTAGGCTTTTTGTCATCAAAATGACAAAACCAAACATCTTAAAAGAAAAGAAAATCAGAAGTTATCAACCGAGGCTGATTTTAAGTGGTCACACTACACGAGTCAAAGGTCGCGACGAGACAGGCTGACAGAGTCCGGCCGCCTAGACACGGCTGTCCGAAGCCACACCTGGAGAGATCAGCGGATACCTTATGAGACAAAAATAAGAAAGCATCAAGCTCTATTAAACTGGCATCGATTCTGAGTTTCGATTCTATCACGTTAAAAACAGGTCGCGGTTTGAGTGAGCTTTACAAAATAACAGGGTAAGGTCGATGTCACAAGTGGTTAGAGAGAGAACTGACCTCTCTTCTCCGTCACGAACTCACCCGCGGTCTGCTGCACCCAGAGCTCCTACCACCCTCCTGTGCCATTAGAGGGTTTAGCAGGTTCACTGAACTGACTCATTTCTTTGTTAGCCTATTTATATGGGTTAAGACCCTGACTGACATAAAACACAGCCCCCAAATCCCAGACAGAGAGTGTAATGAGGGCTGAGTGATGTACGGTCCGGGGAGCAGCCTAGCCAATAAATGCGCTGGGCTAGCAAAGAACACACTGGCAAAGATTTATTATTGGAATAAATACACTCTAAAAAGGTTTGATACAATAAAACCTGCAGCATAAACACAAACTACTCTAAAACATAGCTCATTGTCCTGCATAACGTATAGCTGATTTTCTATAATTATAGTACATTCTCTTCATATTTTTCATTCAAGAATAAATTTTTGAACAAGCAAAACCAAACAGCCCAGTTTCTGAAATGGCACTAACAGTACAGCTCTTTAGTTCATGCGAAAGAAATAGTTGGTATTACTTGGAACTCACCATCCACCTTTAAAACATATATAAAGAAGAGAAGGAAGTGTTGCTAGGAAATGTATTACCAAGAGAAAAGGGGTAAATGAACCCCGGTAACAAATCACTGTTTTCATGACATGGAACACAGTAATACCAAATTAGGGAAAGCGAGCGCCGGACGTAGCAATGACTGAAAGGGTCCTACCTCCCAGCTCCTTGACGTTCAGGACGGCGTTCTGGAACGGCACGGCCTTGATGCTGAAGCCTGCGGCCAGAGCACAGGAACAGAGAGCAGGTTAGTGACAGCCTTTCGACACGCAGCCGGCGCGCGGCGCCTCTGGCTCAGGCAGCCCGAGGGCCACTTTCCTTCCCTCCTACTTATACCGGAAACACACCATTTCCCAAACCGATGATCTGATATTATCTGCTGCTCTTTTTCAAAACATAGTTGTGTTTAATGGCAAAATATAACCCCTTTCTTCAACGTGTTGTCTTATTATTTAATATATAATGTCTCTGAAAATTTTATCAGTTGCAAGAAAGACACTTGGAAATACAGAGAAACTTCAAAGAAAATATTACATCTACTGGGACCTTTGCATGGAGCTAATTCCTAACATTAATTTTCTCTGACAAGTAACTTAACAACCCTAAATATTAAGGTATCTAAATTACATTAGGATTACGTTGCATTTATGTTAGTTTTCTTTTAAGGATGTGGTTAGTATAAAACATACATTTTTCTTAAAAGTGGAATCATAACTATTTACACGAGGCAATTATCTTATAATGCATTAATAAGTGTATTCCATCATAAAAATCTACTCAGAGCATAGTTTTATGATCCACTACGCATTCGGGCCTGGCTATCGGCATGCCAGTCAGTTCAGCTAGAACATGCGTAAGTGCGTGTACACCGCACACACGGGAGCCTGGTCCACTCTAAGCAGGGCTAGGAGGATCCACGAGAGACTGAGTCTGCAGACATGGGACACCTGGGGGTCTGGAGATCTTACCAGGACAATGGATACAGTGCTGTATCTCATTTGAAAGTTTCACTGTATACGAGTACCCCTTTTTCAATGGAAAGCCCTACTAATTTTGAAAAGTTCCTTGGTAGTTTTTCTGAGCATCCCATCAATTTAAGATTTTAAGCACAATTCCATATGTACAATTACAAGAGAGATGAAACACAGTCGCTTTCCCAAGAAATGATCCACAGAGTGAAGACAGAGCAACACTTCCGCGTGAAGGTCAGGGCAGGCGCCCGGGAAGGTGCGGAGAGGCAAGGAGGACACGCAGGAAAGCGATCCTTCCACCCGACTGTGCTTTACTGTGATAACGAAGACCAGCCTGGGCCTTCTGCGGCCCGCCCTCTCCTACCGCCCTTCGCTGTCTACTCTCCCAGCACCTCAAGATTCTCCACGCCCCCTTCCTCTTCGGGCCGCGGCGGTCATGCGGCCGTTACACAGTGACCCCGGGGTCCCACGGGGCCGGGTGTGGGTACGGCCTGTGCCCGTGGGCAGCCTGCCAGCGGGCTTTCACGTCCGCACACGGACGTGACGTGCCACGTCACAGAGCCGTCGCAGGGTGAGGTGACGCGGGCGCTGGGGTCACCCCAGGGCCCGGCACCAGAACGCGCACAGCTGTAACTGCTGGTGCCCCGTTTCCGCCCGTGCGCCACCGCAGATGCGTGAGTCGCCCGGTGTGCGGCCTGCCGCAGCCCCGGAGCCGCAAAGGCCGGGCAGCGCTGGTTAATAGGAGCCTGCGCCGGAGTGACGAGGGTGGGGCTGAGAGGCGCTGCACAGGCTGCGCGGGGCTCGCTAGGATCGCCGCGACGGCCCCTTCCGCACAGGCGCACTGCCCGCAACGGGCGCAGCGGGTGCAGAGAGGCCGTCAGTGGGCGTGCCCACGCGGGGAGCCCAGCCCGGGTCCGGCCGCCGGAGATTCAGGAGGGCCAGGGCCCGCCAGAGCGCTGCTGGCACGGGGACGCGCCCGCCGGGGGGGCCTGGACGCTGCGCTGCATCCGCCTCCCTCCTGGGGCGGGGGTGGGGGTGTGGATATGGATTGAAAGGCAGGGACCCTGAAACCCCAAAGACGAAAAGCCCCCTGCACATGCCGAACGGTCTACTAGCGGACGTTGAGGGCAGCTCAGGGAAGGGCGTGCGGGAAAACGGGACATCCCGAGGCTGCGGAGGGGACAGGCAGGGCCTCCTCGGCTTTGATTCTGCTGAGGAGACGCGCCGCTCCACGCCCCCCACCCCCGCCCGGCCGCCCAGGGGCGGACGACCCGCAGGCCGAACCGAACGCCTGAAAGGTCTCATCCCAGCAGGCAGCTGTGTGGCCGTCACCGTCTTGAAAATCCCTGCACAGGTTCCATAATAAATTGACTTCAGAAATGTCCTCAAGTGTCCACACTAAAAAAAGTAACCCCGCAATGTTACTTTACAGGCATATAAACGTTTCTGCGGAACACTCATAAATGCTCTCTCTGCGGACCCAGCACGTGTGGCGAGATTTACGCCGCGAAGGTGTCCGCCGCCGGCCGCCGGCGTCTCGTTTTCACAGCGACGCTGTAGGGATTAACGTTCAGGGGGCGAAGCCCAGGCAATCAGTCCAGACAATAAGAAAATGTGCTCTTCTTGGAAGACAAAACAACACTTTTCTATTTCAGTCATTATAAATATTAGCAGGGATTAAAAAGAATTAACAGTTAGAGACGCACATTCAGGGCACCCAAAGGGCAGCGCGGAGGGCGCGAGCACCGGGTCGACCGCCCTCACTCCCAGGCGGGGCCGCAGGGCCGGACCCGGAGTGAGTGTGGGGTGTGGAGCTGGGTGCAAGGGCCCTGCCCCCGGAACTGCTTTCTGCAGGGGCTGCTCTGAGGCGGGAGCCCCCGCGCGCCGGCCCTGCTGCGCTGCCTGGGTCCGAATCCTGGCTCCACATCGCACTAACCGGGCCTCGGCCTCCTCCCCTGTGAGTGAGAACGGACGGCACTCGGGGCTATAAAGTGGGTTTTTTTCTGTTTGTTTGTTTTTAAACAAGTAAAACTCAAAATCCAGCACACGGATGGTCCGCAAAGGACTCCTGCGGGTTTCCTCCCGCGCAGGCCTCGCGGGCCTCCGCTCTGGCCGGGGAAGCGGCGCTGGAGCCGGGCCCGCTGTGGCCGCGGAGCAGCACAGGACGGCACAGGGCTTCCACGGACCACGCCTGGGTGGTCTCCCCCGCCCCCGCAGCCCACCTGGAGCTGGTTCTCAAACACGCCCGCTTCTCCCCACCCCCACCCCCACGCACAGCGGCCAGGCCGCCGCGCCCCCTCCCGGACCACCGAGGGCCCCCTAACGGCAGCCCGGCACCTGCCGCCGGCCTCCTCGCCCGCCCTCCGGACGTGCTTCTCCTGAACCGCGCGTCTGTCTACCTCGTTCCCCACGTGGAAACCTTCCTTCCGACGGCTCCTCACATGCAGGGCGCAAAGGGAAACCGCTGCCAGGGCCCCAGCGGACAGGTTCCCCTCTCGGTCCCTGGGCCTGTGTGGCACTGGCTCCCCCTCCCAGCATCGGTCTGTGTGTCTGGAGCAAGCTGTGCTCCTTCCTCCTCCGGCCTTCGCGCAGGCCGCTCCGAGGACGCGTGGTCTCTGCCCGCTGGCAGAATCTTCTTCGTGCGGGGGGCGTCCCAACTTCGCTTGCAGGTGCGCCTTCTCCAGGGCTCTGGAAACAGGCTGCTTTGTTGGTTTGTCTGTCTGTCTTTGGGAACCCGTGCTCCTCCAGCCCTGAGTATCCTTCCCCCGTGCGGTTTCCACAGTTGTAATTACTTGTCAGTCTACTCATTTGTTTTACATCTGTCCCCCGGCGGGGCTGCCCAGTGATGGGGAAGCGGTGCAGGGCAGGTCCCGAATGCCAGTGCTGGGCACACAGAAGGATCTCAGGGTAAGGCCCTGCGCTGAGGGCTGGTCTCGTCTCCCCGTTCAGCCGTCACGACAGTCCTGAAGGGCTAAGTACGTTGCCAAAAGCACCAAGTGCCCCAGCCAAGCCCTGAACCCATGGCTCGTCCCGGAGCTAACCCCCACCCCCTCCACATGCCAGCAAACTAAGCGCTTCATGCCATTTTCCCCCATTTTGAGCCTAAATGCTGGTGAAGCTCTTTGGGAAAATACACACACACATGCCTAATAAACTCACTCATGTGCTCTCCCTACTATCTGTAAAGAACCCAGCACAGGAACCAAACAAAGTGGTCTCAGGCCTACAGCACGTTGCCTTCTGACCCCTGCAATGGAAGCCGCAGCATGCGCGTGGGAAGTGCCCTCTAACTGACGTCATTAACAAACCCAAGAACTTAGGCGGGAGTGGAATGTCTGCTGACTCAGCCATGCCAGCAAGCTCGCTGTGGCTCCCCCTCCCCCGCCCCGGAGGTGTCCCTTGCTGCTCTGAGCAGGCAGCCAGTGGGCCAAAGGGACAGTGGCTTTGCCCTCGCGGCGCTGGCCCCAGCTCCTGTCCTCGCAGGTCCAGGCCAGGGCCCTCGGTCCTGAGGCTCCCACCCGCACACTTGGCGGGCTAGGTTAGGTCCCTACAGCTTTATCCAACCCAGGATTCCGTTTTACACTAAACAGGAAGAAACACCAGGAGCTCGCCCTCAGTGGCTTCCAGTGCCACACTGAAGGCCTCAGGGACCGCCCCCCATCCTTGCCAACGGCCCCATGCTGAGCCCTCTGTCACAGCTCACTGTTTCCTGCCCCCCCACCCCACCCCCGCCACATTAGCAAGACAGAAGCCCCCCCCAAGAGTTAAACCCACACATTTTAATCAACAGATGACTGAGTACTCTTTGGGGAAACAACTGTTTGCATAGACTCTCAGCTTTTGTCTTTTTGTCCATAAATCCAAAGAAACCTGTGACACAAGAGAGGTGGATTTGAAATTTTTAAGGCAGGGAAAGCATTTCTGGAATTGCAACAAAATTAGTTTTGGGAAGGAGGCCGGTCTATTTTTAGTCATTGTGTGGAACACATGAGTATTTTACTTGGACCTACAGACCAGCCTCCCCCCAACCCTCCCACCGCGCGCACAAGCGCACACACGCACGCGCGGTTCGCAGCGCGCGCGGGCTTCTGCGGGCCGGGGGCACTCGGAGAACCGCTGAAGGGAAAGGCAGTCCATGGGCCTGGTGGCCGTGCCCCGGACCGAGGGCATGATTTATCGCAGTTTTGCGATGTTTAGACAGTGGTCCAGCGAAATCCCTCCAAATACGATTTCAACCTCATAAAAG